AATAAATAAATAAATAAAAGAAAACAAAAAACCCCACTAGATCTACCGATAACTATCATTGTATGTGGATTGACTTTGGTCTGCAAAGAATATGACACTCACTAGGAATAGCCAAATGAATTTATGAATATTATATTTTTGTGATTTCTTTCCTTCCGGACACCAGTTTGCATTATTCTCAGCACCATTCACCTTTCATGTTTCCAAGGTAGAAGAAACTCACAGATGGAACTAGAATCTACGTATATTAGTATTCTACGCTCAAAGTAGAGAATCTCGAATGGGGATACCTAATTTGTTTTACGGCGACCGCTACTGCATAATGTCATATAAGCGCGTAGGACACATTAAACATTTTCAGTTGGCAGGGAATTTTGAATTTTGCCCTGGTGGCGGCCAAATATTAGACCACCAAGGGATCTTTAACGTGCGCAACTTGCACAAGGGACCTCCGAGATTTGTCACCCTTGTTCGAGAAGGCTAGGTGTAGATCTTTCCTAGATCAGGAGTATGGCTGAAAGACAGCAGTAAAAAGGGGCCAAGGAGTAGCAGAAGAAAGGCAGCAGACAGAGAGTCAGGAGCCCAGGGAGAGGTCAAAAGAGGTGAGGGGGTGAGGGCAGAAAGTGAAGACGAAAGCAGACGACAGAACATTGCTAGAGGGCAGGAAAGGAGGTGAAAGGAGACAATTTTAGAGCAGAAAATATTATTATTTCCGTCGCTACACGGATTTGAACACGGGACATTTGAATGAGAGGCGAACTCCTTAACCTCTTGGCCACTAGAGCCACCGACCTAATTTCTTTTCGTCCCTTTCTGAATGAGGAAAAAACTTCAGAAAGTTTCCTCACAAAAGATTTTTGCAATGTTTGGTTCTATCAACAAAACTTTTCGGAGAACAAGGCTGACTGATCAATATTTGTCATCTGCTCTGATCAAAGTCGGAACTCACAGACATTGCAGCCAAACACAAAAACTGTCAGCAAAAAGAGGAGTCAATCCTCAGGACACAAGACTAAAAACGGTTTCTTACTTATTTACTTATCCCTTTATCTTGGATGACCGTTGTTGGGGCACCAAGGATGACCGCGCAACCACTTTTCTCTATCCTTCTCTATTTTTCAGCTTTTCGAAGGGCTTCACCCAACTTGAAACCTGTCCTTTCCGTTACGTTGTCTACCCTTTTCTTTTTCTGTCTGCCTTTCCTTCTCCCTCCTTGTACAGTGCTCTGTCGGATCATCTTTAACCGAGTCCTGTTGATCGTGTTATGTGCCGTCAATATCTGATATGCTAAAAATGTAGCAAATATGGTAAGTTTTAAACTGTTGTAGTTTTTGTATGATACACTTGAAGTTGCTTAAACGTGAAGACTTGTTGTTTTGCCAAACTGCTTCGTTACTTCGCATTCATTAATGCTTTAAAATTTGAATGGGCGTTTCTAAATTTAAATGACAACGCTTTTCTACCAAAAAATCTTTAAATTATTACTTCAATTAGGTGTTATGAGCAAATTGCTGCCGAGTGTGATAAGAATCGAGACAGATGGATAAATAATGAAATCGAGATGCAAACAGAATAAGGTAAACAACAGTTAGGTTACGAGAGCGAGAGAGAGAGAGAGAGAGAGAGAGAGAGAGAGAGAGAGACAGACAGACAGACAGACAGACAGACAGACAGACA